GGACAGTGATGGCTTAAAAACTCGTGACATATGCAGTGAATGATATACCGACCAAGACAACTGTCGAAAGGGTGATCGTGGGCTGCGAAACCATAAAAGAACAAAAATTAGGGGAAACGCCAAATACGTATGCACAGCGGCGATATACAGGGCCTCACGATGCAAGCAGTTTTAGTTTACTTAGAAATGAGAACCCCACACTGGTTTCCAGAAAACGGTGGAATTATTTTTTGCCCGAAAACCTACGGAATGAAAATTGTGATATGATATGCGGAAAACGTTGGTGGACAGCCCTTGCTTACGCCTCAAATCTCTTGGTAAAAAATTTCGGCACAACAGTTCTCCAGGTTGACTGAAATTCTGCGTGCGATCAACGCGTTCATGGAAAACTACGTAAAAGGATGAACATGACAGACCCGCTTTTTGCTCCAACAAGATGATTTATGAATATTTCCCTAGACTGGGACGTGGCAATCGCCTCAGGCAAGTTTTACATGGCTCTATCTTGCGGTCCAAGAAAAGTCCTCTCTCACGCCCAATTGTTCCCGGGATATATTTTGAAGGGGGTGCCTACGGAAGTTTGTTATCGTGACGACTTGAAGTAAGTTCTGCAGAGGGGTAAAGCTCTGCCCATGCGCGATGCGGAAGGTATGTGTCTAGTTCCCACGTAGTAGCCTATAACTCTTTCAGAAGAGTTTCAGTTTAAGTAGGCGGATCGCTTATGGCAGTACGTCACGAGCTCTGAATACGGTGGTAGTCTGCTTTTTTGCCTTTTCGATTTGTTGTAATCTTGTTATGCCTCAGATGTTTAGGTCTGCGTTGCGCATTTAATGTTTGGTTTTGCACATTTTCTGAAAGTATTAGAGGTACAGTGGCCATTTAAAACTACAACTGCCCGCTTCATGGCACGCATTGACGGAGTTGATCTCTAGTCACCTTACCACATCGATTTGAAGTCCTCTGAGGGTTTGACAATCAAAAAGCTCGACACCACTATGATCCGATTTGTCTGATCATCATCTGCTTGGGGTCGTGAGTGCGTGTGCCGGAGACCTGATCCCGATTCCCATGATGATGTATGGAAAAAGTGCTTGAGTAGAACGGCCTAATAAACAGAGGAGATCACTGTTCTGGCCGCCGTCTCTAGCAAAGCTTCTTGAAAGGATTATTTTCGATGAACTTCTTGACTTCTGTCTACCTTATCGGCTTCTGATCTCTATTCAGCATTGATTTTTACCTGAACGATCCTGCGAAACTTGCCACTTGGCATTTCTTAATCTAATCACTTCAGTCAGTGTTAGTTATCTACTTTGATCTTAGCAAATCTTTTGACAAGGTGCCCCATAGACGTCTTTTAGTAAAATTGAATGCTCTCGGCATCCGGCAGCCTCTACTCGACTTCATTAGGTCCTGTCTGTCCAACCGATATCAGCAAGTCATGGTCATTAATAGCTACTCGACACCTCACTCGATCATGAGTGGCGTACTTGAAGTTACCGTTCTGGGTCCGCTACTCTTCCTTTTTTACATCTATGATATTTCGACTGAACTCGGAAATTCACAAACATTTATTAATACCGATGACCTCAAGTGTGTTTACTCATATTCTAAGGACACCGCAAGCCTTTGTATTGA